AGGGGAGGTTGGAATTAAGGGGGGTGGGTCTCTGCTCCCAAGTGAGAAGTGATAGAATGAGAAGAAACATCCTCAGGTTGCCCAAGGGAGGGTGAGATCGGATCTTGGGAACAATTTCTTACCCCAAAGGGCTGTCAGGCCCAGGCTGCCCAGAGCAGGGGGGGAGTCCCCATCCCTGGAGGGGTTTCAAAGCCCTCGAGATGGTGCTGAGGGACATGGGGCAGGTGTGGCCTGGGCAGGGCTGGGTTAATCTCTGGACTTGATGGTCTTAAAGGTCTTTTCCAACCAGAAAGATTCTATGATTCCAAGAGACCAGTGAAAAGGATGATGCACCATCCCCCAGCATCTGCAGCCCCCAGGGCAGCCTGGGCCCAACCCTCCCACCCCACAGGGTGGCCACGGGGACCACAGCTCTGCTGGCCCCACATGCCCCATCCTCACACCTCACTGGGGTCAGTTTTGGTGTTTGTGTCACCATAAGCCAGACCTGGGGACTCTGGCATAGCCCAGCCCAGGGACTGTGGAACTCCACAACCAGACCTGCTGCTGCCTCACCTCGTGTTCAGTGCTCGTGCAGGACATGGAGGAAGCATCTTCCCTTGGAAACACCTTCTCCTTTCATGGAGGAGACCTTAACCAGTTAGAACTGGCCAACAAGCAGCCTCTCACCATGGGAACTCAGGCTGCACATTCCTCTTGCACTGCTCTAGGATGCTTCTGTAGATTTGAAAGAAAGGCTGTGGGGGGGAGTCCCCATCCCTGGAGGGGTTTCAAAGCCCTCGAGATGGTGCTGAGGGACATGGGGCAGGTGTGGCCTGGGCAGGGCTGGGTTAATCTCTGGACTTGATGGTCTTAAAGGTCTTTTCCAACCAGAAAGATTCTATGATTCCAAGAGACCAGTGAAAAGGATGATGCACCATCCCCCAGCATCTGCAGCCCCCAGGGCAGCCTGGGCCCAACCCTCCCACCCCACAGGGTGGCCACGGGGACCACAGCTCTGCTGGCCCCACATGCCCCATCCTCACACCTCACTGGGGTCAGTTTTGGTGTTTGTGTCACCATAAGCCAGACCTGGGGACTCTGGCATAGCCCAGCCCAGGGACTGTGGAACTCCACAGCCAGACCTGCTGCTGCCTCACCTCGTGTTCAGTGCTCGTGCAGGACATGGAGGAAGCATCTTCCCTTGGAAACACCTTCTCCTTTCATGGAGGAGACCTTAACCAGTTAGAACTGGCCAACAAGCAGCCTCTCACCATGGGAACTCAGGCTGCACATTCCTCTTGCACTGCTCTAGGATGCTTCTGTAGATTTGAAAGAAAGGCTGTAACAGGCTGTGATCCATTCCTTCCCTCACATCTTCTAAGGAAGACCAGAGCTTAAACAGACCTCAGTTCAAGACAAGAAATAAGCTGGGAAATGGGTCAGCAGGAGAAACATTTCGAGAGTGTAAGGCCATGAAGCACAGCAACCTGCTTATCTGCTCTGATGATCCATGAACCAGGCTCTGCCCCTCTCAGATCAGGAGTGCCACCCACACCTTCACCTCTCACACCTGAGGCCACTGTGACCAGAGCAACAACCAAAGCTTGTTCTGCATCTCAGCCCTGTGTGCCAAGGCCTGGGAGCCCACCTGAACCCAGGGTGCCCACCAGGCACACCCAGGCCCTGGGCACTCCAAGAGCCTTGGAAGGGACAAGGTCTGGTGGGACCCAACATGAGGGGGACACCTGCCCCTCACCTCACTCATCAGGAGAATGGGAGAACCACAACCAGGCTCTTCACACCCACATTCACTGCCTGTGCTTGGAACAGCTTGATGGCCTCAGCTGAATCACCTGCCTGGAACCACAACTTGAAGAACAAAGTCACTGCTTCCCTGCACTTCTGCCTCAGGACTGAGACAAGACACTATCCTGCTGATGACCCCCTTGAAACACTCCCCTTATTAAAACCTTTAACAGCCTCAAATGGCTCCTTGGACTGCCAGAAGCCTTTCACCAATGTTCACACATTGCCAGATTAATTTTTAATTTAAAACCAAGATTGCACTATCTAGCTCAGCCATGTATGTGCCTCCTGCCTTTGAAACACTGCCCACCCCATAGTGCTGTGTGTGCATTTCTTACTCCAGCCCAGAGGAGGTGACAGGGTGGGGGGAAATGTGGTGTGTGGCAGTTACCTGTTGGACAAAGTTATTAAATATAGCTACTACCACAGAGAAGTTAATCCCTGGAGCAGGACCCTCCTTTTGGCCACACAAAGGGAGCCGTGGGTGCTGTTCTGTGCTCTGTTCACTGACACTTCTCACTATCCCCTGCTGTGTCATTTAAAAGCAGACACTAGTTCAGGTTGGGACAGAGCTCTGTGTGTTGTCCAGGCCAACCTGTTGCTCAAAGCAAGTCAGTCAGATCAGGTTTGTCCGAGATTAATCCAGTAGAGTCTTGAACGGCTCTGAGGACAAAGAGCCCAAACCTCTCAAGGTAACCTGTTCCTCCTCTGACCATCCTCAGGGTTAATTAGCTTTTTTTCCTTACACCTTAAAGCACAGGGGATAAAAGAATCTGACTGAAACCTTGGGACAAGCAGGGAAAATAAAGCAAAAGTAAGCAGAATACGTTACACTATGTGAACTGCAGCCAAACCGCAGGATCTAATACAGCAATGTGCCATCTCCAGCAGCCAGCAAAGCCCCAGCCCTCACTCACCTCTTCATCTGGCAGCTGCAGCTCCAACACTTCATTGCCTTTTTCTGTGCAAAACAGTTTCCTTGGATGTCTCCTTCTAGTTCCAGGTACTCACCACGTAACTTCCACCAGCACTTACTGTCCCTTGGCCACCTCACCCCCGGATGAATGTACCTACCTCATCTTCATCTCATTACAAGAGCTGATAAACTGCACACCATCTCTTCCATTCCACGTCCAGGCAAACCTTTCCCCAGCAGCAGCAGCCTCTCCCAGAGGCAGAGGGGTCAGTCACCCTGCCGGGCAGCAGCAGCAGAACAGAAGCTGGAGGTCCCCGGCATGAAGGTTGTGGCTGAGCTCTTTTTCCACCGTGTTTCACTGCATTCCCAGCCCTCTGCCGAGCCAGGAGGGGGGTGCAGGTGCGTGCAGTGTACACCCTGCTGCCACGGAGAGGCAGCCTCCCCACACACATGCTCCTGTGCAGCTCCTCAAACACCAAAGCCCAGCCCCCGGGTCCCACCTGCGGGCTCAGCACCAGGCGCCCTGTGCCACCTTCCCGGCAATCCAACTCAGATGTGGTGCCCCATTCCCACCCTTACACCGCTGGAGGTTGGTGCTGCAGTTGCCAGGTGAAACACCCCAGCGTGGGGGGCTCTCCCCACACCCCCCCAGTGCTTCAAAGCCATCCCCAGGCTGCATTCCCAGCCCGGGGGGTCAGCACCGCACCCCTCAGGGAGCTGCTGCCAACAGTGCTGCTGGCCACGAACCTGGGTTTGTCCCCCAGCTTCCCCAGAGGGGGTGCACACCACATTCTGACACCAGAACGAGCACTAAATACACCCCAGAAGGTGCTAGTTACCCAAGCTGGAGCCCCTCGGGTAGGCACCATCAAGAGGGGATACCACAGCCACCAAGCACCAACAGCAGCACAGGAGCACTGGCCCTGCAAGAGTAAATCCCACACTGCTCTGAGGAGTGAGCAGAGGAATTATATATGAAGTATATGGAATATAAACATGTAAATTGTCAGAGGAACACCTGTTACTGGGGGTCTGTTGCACCTCTGTAAATGTATTAGCAGGACCCCATACACATCAAGTAGTTAATTTCCACCAGAGCCAATTTTGAAGGAGAACTATTGCAGAAGAAATAGCACCTTGCACTTCAGTTTTGTTTCAACTAAATCTTCCAATTCCTAATTTGACCACAGGGATGTTACTTTTTGCTTTGTTTTGTTGTGATTATTTTTTAATGAAGTAGGTTACAATTACTACTGATAACTGCCTGGATGCATTTGCAATTCACTTTGAGAGGTTAACTAAGGCTTGTTTTCATGAGAGATTCTTAATAGCGATTAGAATTGGTTTTAAAGTAGTGACATACACTGTTTTATATTAAATGCTAAAATTATTCCCAGAAAATTAATACTTGGATTGAATTAAATATCAATCACCAAGTACAACAAGTAATTTTTTTCTCTGCAGTCAGCCTTCACTAGTTTAGGACTAAGTCCAGTAACAATCTTGCTTCAGGCTGTATTATATTTAGAATTTAAGCAACAAAGCCCCAGACTTGCTTCCAAAACCTTACTGCTCAGCTTCTGCCTACACCTTCACACCATGTCAGGCATCTCTTCTTCCAGGCACAATTTGCAGAGCAGGTGGTCAGTCCTGACCCCTCCTAACAAGGAAGCAAATCCTCACAAACGTTTGGGGCTGTGAATCTGACAGGTGTTTCCCTGCAAACACAGCCAACAAAAGGAGCAAGGAAAGGCTTCCTGCAACCCCTCTCTGCTGCTAAGAGCAGATCTGAAGTGCCCAAGCCACAGCTCAGAAAGCAAACCTGTCCCTCTAACTGAAGCAGAACTAACAATACACCAAAAGACTTGGCCTCAGCACTGTGTTTATTGGCTCCTTTCCACCCTAATTTAAATATGCAAAAAAGCCGTGATAAAATAGGTTGAACATTTGAAATTAACAGTTACTGTACCTACTTAGATAATTAAGATGCATAGTATACAGCTGAAACTCATTAATAACAGCTTCCTAATGGGAAACTGGATTAAGGTTTCAACAGTACTTTTCTTGCTCCATAACCATGAAAACAATTATTAACAAGGACAGAAAATTATTATGCTCCACAACAGACAGGTACTCCCATTAATATTCTCCTAATGAGGGCTGAGCCCCCTCCCAGAAAAGATGCAACTGAGTCCTATACAGTACTGCAATGGATAGTGGTGCCATGACTCAATTCTTAAACATCTAGGGGCAAACAACACACAGAAGCATTGCAAGAACAAGCCAACAGTTCTTTAGCATCATGTTTTAATTGAATTGGAAGATGCTGACATTTCTCTGTCTTCACTGGAAACATTTTCACTTGTAGCATGGCTTTGTGAAATAGAGTACATGAGCTGTCTTTATTTACTCCTGACTGGCTTCACAGGTCAGTTGTGTCAGCTCCAGAACTATCTAGAAATGACTAATTGTTCCAAGTATTTCTGTTCCCATCCATGTCCTTTTCCATTAATTTTCTCCCTTCAGAATAGGCAACAATTCACCACTTGCCTTTAGTTCCTGTAAAAAGAAAAATACATACACAGCAATTATTCTCCATGTCCATGTTGTGATGATGCTGCCAGGATTGCCACAGGGACAGGGCAAGGGGAAGGAACTCAATGCTCTGGCTATGAAGGGAACCCACTAGAGGTCCCTCTTGACCAAGACATCAATGTTCCTAAGGTTGGATTTAGAAAGACAGGAAACTTCAGTGAAAAGATACACCTGCAAAAGAATGAGTTGTTATCAACCTTACCAGGTAAAGCCCCTGGTCTGTCTCCTCCTAGATGTAATTCAGCTCCTATTTTAGGCACACAGAGAATTTTACAACACCCAACGTGCCTCCCACAAAATGAAAAAATGACCAGGTTTCATTACTACAGCACACTAAAACAAACAAGAAAGCATGAGATTTGTAGAAGTTATAAATAAAAGGTGCTTGCCCATATTATCTTGATGAGTTGAAGTCAAATTGTAAAGTTGTTAGCTTACTAAAGAGAGAAAACACCAGGAAATGGTTTTAAAATAACATGGTGTGGAACAAATCTTTTCCCACGTCTCAAGAGAAGCAGCTGCCTCTTTTTTCCTTCATATTACGCTGTATCATAGAATGCATTTTAAAGTACTGACAACACTAATTTACCCACACAAATTAGTCAGTGTGAACTGAATAGAGCCTAACACTGCAAACAGACAAATTAGACTGAAATTCCTGTGAGAGAAGCATTTTGCAGCATCTCTGCAATGCCCAAGACTATGCTTACTGATCACTGAAATAACCCACACACTTGTTAAATAAATAAAATTAATCTATATAATTTAAGTAATACTAGTATTTTTAGAACTAAATGAGATTTATTGATTGTATCTTCCCAGGAGTTACAATGTCTGAGGAATTGGCTATAAAACATTCAGACAAGAATGGGCTCAGGAGTATTTGGGGTTTAGAACACTGTGCCTGCTCTGTTACAAAAATCAAAAACCACAGTAACAGATGCAGATCTATTTTTGTTGCTTCAGGGTCTGTTCAAACAACTACAATAAACCCTTACTTTCTTCCAGGAATGAGACTGTTTGCTAGGAAAAAAATGTCTCGCCCACCTTATTTGAGAAAAGCAATGTCAGAAGTAAAACTAGGAAGAGAAACCTGTAAAAATGCACCCACGGGGTAAAAATGGTCTTTAAAGTAACAGTAACTGACTGCTGCCAAGAAAATACATCTCCCTTAAATCTCAGCAGAGGAGAAGGCTGCAGATTTAGAGCTCCTCCCAACCATATGTTGAGCTAATAGAAGCCCCAGTAAAAGCAACCAAATAATTCAAGAGTGGAGATCCAGGGCCACTACCCAGGAGTTCCTGTGTGTAATGGGCAGAAAACATTGCTACAGTTTGAAACAAATGGTCAATTTACACCTCAAAAAAAATTCTCCCATTCCTACCTTAACAATATCCAGCCCTCCAACGAGTTCACCTTTCACATACAGCTGAGGATACGTTGGCCAGTTGGAATAGGTTTTTAATCCTTGCCGAACCTAAGAAAAATAAGCTGAAATGTCAACTTCAACCTTTGTAAAAGCCACAATGAAGTCCTCAATGATGGGAAAACTGAATTACCTCTTCATCTTCCAGGATGTCAAATGTCTCATAATCAACACTACAAAACAAAACAAACAAAATCAGCTACTGGGGAGTTTTGCAGTGCAACACCCTCATACACTGAAAATGGGTTCACAAGCTGCTCAGTCACTGAGTTCACAGGTAAGAGGAGCTAAAAGGTCAACCAATGCCTTGTGCACCAAGAACTGAAAAGTAAAAAACTTCTAGTTTCCTGGGAAAGGCCTTATAATGCAGATGGCAGCAAAATGCACTAAAAAACTGAACCATATACCTTAGGCTCTAACTGGCCAAAATGTGTTCAAAGTTATTCCATTCCCTAACAGCTTAAGAAAACACACACATACTTTGGAGTTTTTTATTAGGGAATCAACCAACTGCAGTTGTTTGACCATCTTCATCTACTACTGGCCTAACAACACAGAAACAAAATGCCTGTGTAAATTGGATTTCTGGCATGAGTTTTGGGATGCAATTCCAATGGCACTTTTCAATAACCAGCAAGTGTGTATAGATTCCTCCCAGTGGCCGAGAGCCAGTGACAAGGAACAATGATCTGAGTAACTGCCACTCATTTCTGAATTGTGTTTTGCTTTAGAGTTATCCATTGTCTCCCAAAGCCCATGCTAACACCTAGTAATGAAGACAACTGCTTAACCTCTAACTAGCACTACAACTGAAACAGGAGTTTACTCAAAGGAAGATGATACTAATCTCTCCCACTACAGAAACAAGGGCTTTGAAGAGGAAAACTGAGGCTAGGTAACATGAGAGGCTCCAAGATTAAGGAAACAGATCAAGAGGGACCTCTCCTAAGGAGAGCTCCTTATCAGAGTGGAAGGACTTCTTTCATGTCAGCAATCACAGCCAAAGGAAAAAAAAAAAAAGAAAAAAAACTTCAGTGTTGCAAAAAGCTCCTCAATCCCAGCAAGACAGTCAGTGTGTAGCTGTGCTAAAGCAGCTTAGTATCTCACACACCACCTCTGACTTGGTATCAAAGAAGTGTAGTAGTGACTTACACTATGGGCTTTTACATAAAAGTATTTTAAAATACTCTTACACAAAGAAAAATATGTTGGGGGAAGACCACTAATATTTTCCAAGCCCTTTATTTATAAAATATGGTTTTTAATACAGAACTGGCTTTCAAGATTAAGTAATAAACACTTACATACCCAGTGTCATTGATGATTTCTATAATTTGCTTGCTGAATCCACATTTTGCCATCTGAAAAGCAAAACATAGGTATGTTACAACATATCTGCTATATTTCATTCACAAAACTCAAATCTTCAAACTACACTAAAGCTATTACCAATTTATTGCCAGTGAGGACCTTACTGCTAATCCCTTTTTCATTCTTCTTTATCTATTTTGAGCCATAAACTGCACTGGAAGTCTCTTTCCTTATATACTCTGATGAAGTAAACAAAAACATTGAAAATATCAAAACACTTTCCCCAGTTATGGTGTGAAATGATCCAAGGTGAATCTGTGCTCCAGGTTTGGTAACACTATCTGGAAAAATCATTAGGCTTGATTATTTTCTGAATGTTCAAAAGGCCAAAGCTGTGGGTAGAATGGGACAAACGCCTTAGATGCCTTTTCAAAAGAGAGATGTTTCACTTTGAGGCATATATACTACCCTTTCCTTTCCAGTCTGAAGTAAGCAGCAGCTCAGGGTCAGCTGGTGCACAAGCTGCATGCACAGCAACTCCCAACTGGAATTCATAATTGCAAGTATCTACTGCAAACTCTTCATACTGACAGTGTAAGAACAGAGCACCCATCATTTTTTAGACATCACACGTTTAATCCAGGCTATCCTGTCTGATGGGCGATTTCACTCCATCAGCAGCACAAGCAAAACCAGAAGTGTGAAGGAGCTTGCCCAAGCCCTGGTGCTCTGCAGGCAGGACCCAGGCTTCAAAGGGGACAGATAAGCATCTGCTTCAAAGCCCTGAGCCCACCTCACTCACCCCCTGGTCCAGTCAGCCAGCACAACCCACAGTGTGCCAGGGGTTATGAAAAGGCTCCACAAAACAACCTGCTGCACTCTCCACTTAGCTGTTGTTAATACACAGAGAAGACTCAGGGAACAACTCACCCCATAAGTGACTGTTAACATGCAAGCACTAAGTACAACTGATGTTCAGGGTACACCACTCCAAGGAGAAGTCTGAGGTGGGTACCACTCCAGTAATTTTGGCAGGAAGAACTGCAGTGCCTTGCTGTTCCAAAGGAACAATTTATCCCCTGGTTATTTTGTTTGAGCAGGCAACACAAAGCAACAGCCCGACCTCTGGTTCACAGTCATTTGTTACTGTTAAAATCCTGCCAGCAGTTATCTGTCTGCAGTCACTACCTGTATGCCAGGGAGCAAGAGAACTACATGCAGCTTCAAGACACCAGGCACAGACCAATTCCATGCATGTGAGAAAATGAGTGGGTAATTGTGGTGCCTGGCAATTTCACTTCAGCCTTGAAAACATCTAGCAGCTTTTTTTTTTTTAAAGGCAGTTGTGAAAGATGAATAAAGTCAGAGAAATTAAACAGGATAGGACCCCAATGCAATTAGGTTAGCAGAGGGAAATATCAAGAATCCTGCACCCAGAGAGGAAGTTTTGGGCAACAGTCCAAGTGTGTGCCTGGAGCAGCACAGACATGGGGGCAATCAGCAGAAAACCCATTATCTGCAAAGACAAGGAGTAACCAAGACCAAGTGGACACGCACAGTTCCTCCAGTCATTGCTGGACTGCAGATCAACTCACAGATACCACTGTAGGGCACCAAGGTCCCAGCTTTCACTTCTAGCAACATGTTTCCATCAGGTAAAACAGGGACCATATAACTTACAGAAGCAGCAAAATCACTAACTTCCCACCACCATTAATTTACATTAAGGAAGGAAAATAAGGTAATGGTCTCTGTTTAAAAAATGGTTTAAATATAATGCATCCTGCAATAATCTTACCTGTTTGTTTCCCTTCATAAAAAGCATCACAGGAGCTTTGTTTATCAAGACTTTAAGCCTACAGAAGGCACAAAAAAGGAAAGATTTAAACAGCCTGATTATCCCATGCTTTGTTTCAACAGGAAAACTAGTTAAAAATTAAAAGACAGCAAATAACAGCTTTCCCAAATGCCTTTACAGCATTATTATAAGCTATTCTATTTGTTTCATTGCTGATTGTCACTAGTGAGTGTATTTGAACCATCCTGGTAGTTTTAGAGCAAAACTTTCCTAGACTGAATTAATGAATACACAAGTGTGAAAGTATAGACTGTCACCTCATTGAAATGGTTTGCATTAAATTGTTTCTCCAGTGTATTGAGGGGGCTAAAGAACCAGAGCCAGGCACATCTAGAGCCCTGTAAAACTTGCTCTTATCACCTCAGACAGCAAGAGGAAATCCATGCTAATTAATTTGCCTCCTAGGTACAGGCCACCTCCTTGGTGAGCCAGTCCCCTTTGCATGGCTTGATAGCATCATTCTCAGAACAACCTGACAAAAGCCACACCTATTAGCGACTTTTCAAACACCATGACTTGTCAGGTATCTGGAGCTTGGCTGCCTGGGGCAGCCAAGGCAGAACTTCAAACACAAGTGAATCTTGACATGGGATGGTTCAAGAAGGACAAACTGGATTCTAGATATTCCATCTGATTTAGGAAGCAACACACTCCCCATTGCTGCAGTATATATATTCATGTTGCCAAAGTGAAAGAAAACAGGAACTGAAGGACATGAGGAATCAAGAAAAATGAGGAGACATGCCTAGAAGTTTCCTCCAGAGATATCATAGTTATGAAGTGTACCCCAAGTAAAGCCAACAAAAGCCAATGATCTGTAAAAGATTATTTTTCCCAGTTACTAAATAATAAATTCTTAAAAAGAGAGAGTCAAGAAGGAAGCTACTTACTTCTGCTATAATTAAATGTTAACAAACTACAAATATAAAAAGTAAAGCCTACTGGAAGAGTGTAGCTTAAGACACACATAACAGTATAGCTTTATATTAGGTGATCCCTACTGTATAGAAAACAGAATATATTAAACAACTGCAGGAGTTCTTTAATTAAAAAAAATCTTTTCACACTTCTGATAAAGTCAAAGAACAGGTATTTATACAAGACGTTCCCCCTGTGGAAATGAACATACAGAAAACCTCAAAAAAAAAATCCCTTTAAATAAGGACATAACACACCACACCTGTCCTCCAGCTTCTGGGCCTTGGGACAGACTGTGTCCAGTTCTCCAGATGCCTCCAGTTCCTAGGGAGATTGGGAAGAAAACAAATCAGATGTAAGAAGCAGGAAAACCACACTTATGACAAGTAACAGGATTAAGAATGTCTCAGTTTCTAACCTTGACAATATCCAGTCCACCTATAAGCTCTCCAGCTACATACAACTGTGGATAAGTTGGCCAATTAGAGTATGTTTTCAGCCCCTGACGAACTTCTTCATCAGAAAAAATATCAAAACTGCTAAATGAAACACCATGTTTGTTCAGTATCTCCACCATTTGTTTGCTGAAACCTGCAGACACAAAAAGAGGAATTACACATAATTTTAAACAAAACATTCCCGTGTCTGTACTGAATCTCATTCATTTAAAAAAAGGCAATTCTTCTAGAGAGCAAGCTCAGAACAGCCCTAGTGTGTATTCTTTGCCCTCTCAAGATCCTCAAATACTATCAAGGGACATAAAACACACATGTCACTGGGATCATAAAACCAAAGTACATGGACAGCTTGGTAAGTCTGGTGCTTCTCTGTTAGCACAGTAAGTAACCTGTATGTCAGTGCCTCTGTGGTTCCAACACACAATTAAAGCAGGTTTTTAATTGGACAACCTTAGGAAAAAGTTTTTCCTTTCTGCAGGTAAACGCCTTTTCTTAAGAAAATAATCACATTATTTGTAGAAAGTTAGATGTGTAAGAATGTTAGTGTTACAGAATTTACAGTCTCTAATCACCTGAATCCTCCTCCACTAGAGAGAAACCCACATAAAATTTCTTTTTCAAACAATCTTCCTACTCTAATGGGAATGTTGAATTAAAAATAAAGTGAAAGGTTAAATTGTTTTCTTTTTAAATGATGATGATTGTTTTTAAAACATGAAGTCTCTACAGAAACTCTTCAAACTCACTTCAAAAACCAAAACACCTACACACCACCCACACCTACGCTGTACCTTTATGTCAACAAGTCCACCCAAAGGGAAACTTTAGACTGATGATCAAGGTCATCTTCATCTACACAACACTTCCACTGACACAGGAGCACACACAGTCCTCCCGAGAAGACACCAGCTACTGGATCATTAAGTGCCCCCAACACCGGACACTTTTAAGACTCAGCTTGACAAGGTTCTTGTCCATCTCATCTAAACCACATTCCTGCCTAGAATGGTTGGACAAGATGATGCTTGAGGTCCCTTACAAGCCTGCATTCTGTGATTCTATGTTCCACAGTGTCCTGCAGGTAATTCAGAAGAGAAGAGGAGGCCAGCTGTACGTTACAGCATAAGGCAGCCAGTGACTTGATCTTTAGGACTGTTGATCAGATCTTGAGTCACAATCCACTGTTCCTCCACAACATATTTGCTCTGCTAGGAACGTTATGCTAATCAGGAAAATACACTAAGTACTTCACAGCACACAGGATGACTGGGGAATTTTGCTCCATTTCTAACACATGGTCTTTCTCCTTAAGTATTTCAACACCTGCCACTGTTCCTTTCATGCACATCCCTTTAAGGAAGTAGAAGTCTCCTAGACAACACCATCATATGGTTTGCAAAATGATCCAAGATAATTTATCCATAAATCAACGTGATAATAAGGTGTGTTGCCAACTCGTTCTAGTTGGGATTTAAATGCCCTTGCAATCCTAGCAATTCCCTCAAAGAATTCCAACAAATGCTGTACAAATGAAAACCTCTACACAAATATTAAAAAAATAAAAAAAAAAAGAGTGACAATGCTTAAAGGCTTTAATAAAGGAATGGAAAAATAAATAAGTTTTAAATGGGAAAAAGAAAGTGCCATAGAAGAATGACCTTTGATTTCAGCCTGCAAGACCACCTATTAGTTTTTGAAATATGGATTTTTTTACTGCAGTTTTCATGATCTGCAATTTATTGAGACATGTAGTGGCGGTATTTATATGTATGGTGTCTGAGTTGCTTTTCTTTCTAGAACTGAAGTGTTAAGTTCATGTACAGCCTCAAGTAAAACACAGAATCTGAAATTCTTCATCCATCGGGGAGTTCATTAGTAAACAGCTAAAGGCTGATTGCTGATGGTTATTCCATCACCAATATATTAGTTCATTTCTACTGTAAGGAACTGGGGGAGGGAGGGGGGGGAAAGCAGCTTTATTTTAGCTGTAGGCAATTACATGCAAAGCAGAAAGATTGATTGGTTGTGTTTCATTTGGAAGGGTTATGGTAGCAGTCTGCAAGTGTTATGCTCAGGGATAAAGTGCCAGAACAGCTTCGTCCTTGTAACGAAAGATTTAGGTTGAATTTCTGAAGAAATGCCACACAGGCATGACAAGGCATAACTAAACTGCTAACAAAATGTTTTAAGTGGCTATCTGGATGATGACAAATGCCACTGCAGATTCTCCACCAATAAAATCAGCCTCAAAACATGACGGTATTGAGTAAGCACAACCAAATACCCACTGCAGTAACACAAGGTAGGCAGGAACCATATCAACTGCCAGTGCACACACAGCCCAGGGGACAAACCTTCCTTTACACCCCCCTAGCTGGCTTTTCCAGTAGAGAAATTACCAACTACAAGATCCCAAAATCCACTGCTGGACAGGGTTCCCTCCACCTGCCAACTGCACTGCAAGTCTGTTTTCTGTATCAAAATAGATACAATTCAGAAACATCTTCTCTAAACAAACACGGCTCTTTTCACTCTATTTTTATTACTACTACTGCTGTAACAGAACCACACCATCTTTGACAAAATGTTAAATTACCTTCACTTTGAAAAAAAACGGTCTATTCCAAGAAATTTAATGAACCCAACTTGCTAACATCTCTAAATACTGCCAGGAAGTGCCACAGCAATTTAAAGCAGACACAGTGTTTAACTGCAAGATTAATATTATGTCCAGATGATTCCACATGTTGCACTACATTTTAAATACTTCCAAATGTAATACACACATCTATGTAGGTAAGTATCTCCTGGGCACTTTTCACTGGGTACTAGGGATCAAATATAAAATTGAAAGCTTGAATATATAATTTAACATGTTAAGACATGCAAATGAACCTGCATTCCATATTGAGTTTATGATGAAGTTCCTAAGTGTCCTGTCTGAATAATCTAAGCTGCAGACATCCCAAACATGCTCATTAACATCAGGAGCCTATCAGAGCACTGCTCTGTTACAAACAGACATCACAGGATGTACCAATGGATGGACTTCACAAGTCTACTTCAAAATATGTCCAAATTCCCATTCCTACAAAATGATACATGAATTCCCATGATTTCACACATCTATAATCATATTGTTACATGATTGCAGTACAGAATTATCAGTAAAGAGATGGGAGTTCATCAGCTCTTCATAGGAGCAAATGCCTGTGCACAAACTGCTGGAATCCCAACCTAACAGACAGTAATGACAGACAGACAGTTCACAGCCCAGTGAACATGACAGTTCTGAAATCTAAGGTTGTATTTGAAACTGCTTCTACTGAAGTGATTCTGGAACATATTACTGCCTTGAAATGAAAGAGCAGCCTTGAAAGAAGAATAAAAAAGATGTGAAGTTACCAGCACAGCGAAAGTCAAATACAGCACAGGAAGTACAGGCAGTGCAGAGAATATCTTGCACTTCCTCCGACATTTCTACAACCCTTTCACAGAAACACCTGAAAGTACACTTCAGTACTGAGAGCCCACCTGGCAGCTTCACCACTGCTACCACTCTGCTCAGCTCCCTCTTTTCTCAAGCACTGGTCCTCACTCAAAACTACCTGCAGTTACTGAAAAGACTTAATTATCCAAACTTCAATCTCTCTTTGGCCCAGCAAGGTAGCCGATATGGTCTGTCCCACAGGATACATTTGCTTGCCAAAGGAATCCAATCTTAACCATCTCCTGTATGGAAGTAACTGTAGAAGTTGCAACATTTGATCTCTAGATCAGTTTGCAGAAAGGAGGTAAAAGAAGTCAGTGCAACTTTTTTTCCCCCATTGCCTTTCCCCACTCTTAATTTTACAATCTTGGAACTGTATCTTATTGCCTCCATGCCCAGAATAATTCCTGAAAAGGATGTAAAAGACTCAAGACTGAAGTCTTCCCATTGCCAGTGAAGCTCTGGAGATGAGGAATGGCTGTTTTCAGACGCTGCTTTTTGGCCCCTGTGTTTTGACAGTAGAACACAGGCCTTGGGGAACAAGAGAACATGAAAAAACAGCATAGAAACCAGCAGTTACTGTTCACTCCTGTAAGGATCAGGAGAGGAAGGCTGGTGGGTTAGCAGCAGACTGACAACTGAAGATAAACTCCAACAAAGGCAGGCAAGGATTACGCTCAAAAGAGATGGCCTGAGAAGTGCTGTGTTAATGCCAAAACAATGTCCCCAGAGCTACACAGAACAGGAACAGGAGAGCTGCCAAGAGTGCTGTTTGGCCAGGCAATCCCCATCCTACATCAGTGCTCTTCTGTTTACCTCCTGCAGCTCCCTACAGAAAGCCCTACAAAATCAGTTCTGCACTGCAGCTTCTTGAGATGGCATGAGCAGAGGGATGGCAGCTCCATAGTGCTGAAACTTTGGGGTTTTAGCATTTGCTTATGTGCTTCCCACCTGGATCAACACTTCAGGTTAGCTAGGAACCAAGCACTTGAAATGGTGAGCAAGGGTTAAGAATATTATGTTTAAGAAGAGGGATTTCACTGCAGCAGAAACTCATGCTACTGGTCTTTCAATCTTACCAGCTCAGATAGTTTTCCTTCTCCAAATGGCAACAGTAATCCTGGATATTAGCCAACTCATATTATTCCTTGAACTGAATTTCTCTCTCCAGACTATTTTACATTTTCAGCGTGTGTAACTTGAACCACAAAATGCATCATGAATAAAGACTGAGCTAGCTCAGAACAAGTCATGCCCCAAGGTCAGCACTGCACAGCACATTTTTTAGCAAGTCCCCCCCAGTCCCTGTGATTCCATTTCCGAAATTTAACTAAGAGAACAGCAATTCAGGAGTGCACGTAAGCAATATGGAAATACTGCCATTAACACTTCAGGGTGTACAAGATGCCCTTGGGATGTATCTCCTCAAAACGGAATGAATTTGACAGCCAGCCCACAGGAAGGGCTGTCCCAGGGAACCTTCAGGAAACCCTTACCACAGCGAGGTTCCTTCGGAGAGCCTTTCATGAAGAGCATGCAAGGGGCAGCGTTGATGAGCTTCTTCAGCCGCACATTGAGATCCTCTCCCGCAGTGTCCTTGGAGGCAGCAGGGAGGGAGCTGCTGGACGAGTGGCGTTGCACCTTTTTGGTCAGCTCTGGGGCATGTGCACCATCCAGCCTGTCAACTTTCTGGGAATTCTAAGGAAAGCAAAACACGGGCTCATATTAAAATATTAAATTCAGAATTTGTACTGTCATAAACAACTAGTAAGACCACCATATAAAGTATAGATTTTCAGATGCAGGGTAGATCAGTGCATTGATCTTTCAGCCAGTCTTTAGTTCTAAGACTCCCACCATTCAGCTGGCTGCTGCTCATCCTACCAAATTTGATACTAGAAGAATACATAAAATATTTTGAATGCTATTATCATAGGCAAATGTGACCCCAAAAGACCTGTCATTTCTACCAAGAGATTATTTACTTGGGTGTTTGCCATGTTGCAGAACAACAGCCAGACAAGGAAACACTGAGAATTTTTTGATCCAATACAAGGTACAACAACTACAGCAAAAACTATGTAAAATCCCAAAGAAATTAAGGAAGCTCTGAAATATTATTTACAAAGTGTAAGAATAATTTCTATCTACTTTTCTAGGTTCCACTGGATAGACTTCAATCAGATACATAAGTGCTTCTTGACTGAGAAAGTTCTTAAGGTTCTGCTTTTCTGGCAATAGCATTAAAAAAGTAAATATATATTAAGAGTCTACGTGGAATGCATTTTTTCTTAAATCCATCTTTTCTTACCTTAAAGAATAGGAACGTTGGAACAGAACTAATTTCATATTTTTCAGATACTTCAGGCACAGCTTCTGCTTCCAGCTACAAAAACAAAAGATCATTTTCATAATCTTCTTTAAAGTTGGACTGGGGATGTCAATCCTGCCTAGAATGTTCTCCTAGGCATTTTATACATTTAAAAAGGATCTGATGCAGAAGTTTGTGGCACATTTGCATTTAAATGAGACTCACTGGGTTGGCGTGTCATCCACTGAGCCCACACAGTGTCAAAACAGGTTCAGAGGTTTTTATTTTGTTGCACATTTCAAAAGATGCCCAGAGGCTGCGAATAAAATTTTTGGTGCACTAGTGACCTAGTAAATTTTCAATCATATGCAGCTACTACTATATTGAAATCCATAAATCATTGACCCCAGTTATGTCATGATTACAGTGCTTATTTTCTGCCCACAGCGGTTCTTTCTGTTTGTTCTATTGACTAATTTCAAGGGGCAGTACATCATGACTGACATTTGCAGCCTTCTGCAAATTATGAAGAAAAAAAGGAGTGTTTCTTCAATAACCTATTGATGTCTAGTCAATTTTAGTTTTAACTCCTGCAAGGCTATTGAGCTTGTTGAGATTATTTGGTCTAATTTTATCCAGCATTCAAATGTGCACCTGGAAATTACACAATGTAGTAATTTGCCAAGAAAACATACATTTTAATGACCTCAAATTTGTGGGTTTCTGTGCCCAGGCCAAAAGTTTATTCAAGTGACAGAAGATCCAGTATAAGGCTGTGTGAGACAACACAAAAGGCTCTGTAATAACCACAGAGTTAATGGTTAAAAAAGTGGTAACAGATCCAAATGTTTCAAACAGAAACCTGCAATCCAGTGCACAGCTGAAAAAGCCTTTCAGATGTATTCCTCAAACCAGAGAATGAACAAGCATCAAGAGGGCTACTGAACAGAAGGTGTTCCTGCCCATCCCTGTCCATTCTTTCATGTTTTAGAAAACACCACAACTGTTCTCACTATGAACCCATACGTAGTGAAGCTCTGAATATTTCAGTATTGCAGCAGGTTTGGATTTGCTCCAGCTAGACAGGCTGTTAATAACTCACTAAATACAGAAGCAACTCAGTAGAAGTAAAAACTGAGAGTCCAAGCCTCACCTTTACTTCTGCTAATCAATGCTCCAACAGGACCAAATGAGAGACTGAGGCTACAACCTAAGAGCTGTAAGTAGATTCTAATTATCTATTCTCTTTCAAGTGGCAAATGATTCAATGACTTCTACCTATAATACTAATTTTCTTTCCCAGTAAAATATCCTACTTACTTGGATAATCATGTTCCACTCTGGTGATGTTCCCACATACAGAACAAATTCAATTTCATATTTTCAGTAACTTGCTCTTATTGGTACAACTGTCCTAAACACTGTTTCTAACTATTTTTGGATATGGACACACTTTCACTTTAACCCAGCCAAGGATCTTGGAGTTAGGCTGTGTAACAACTAAAGTTCATGTCATTACTCCTCAGCTCTGCTCTAGGATGTGACTGCTCTCAATTTCCAAGGCTGTGCACCAGTCCTGGACACCTGTAACCATCTGATGGGTCTTGCCAGTGGAAAGCCAGACTGGCTATTCTGGAACACAGGCCAAAATCCCATAAAAAACTGACAAAATCAAACACACTCCTCATGAGGAGCTCCCCCACCCACCCCAAAGGACAAAAAAAGGTATCAAGTAAAGTCACTTAAGCCTTTCAGTAGCTTATTTCTCTAAATAACTGTATCAGTAACATTGAGGGGGGGAAGGAGGGGCCATTATGATAATTTTGCAACATTTCATCATTTTGGAACCTTGTTATTAGAAAATAAATTACAGCTGAATAATAAGGGCTATAATCAAATAATACATAAATAACAGAGACAACCGAGAGTTTTCAAACTTTCTTGGGCCTACTAAAAGCTATAGCAACTCAGCATAAAAGTTAAGCAGCTTGAATTTTCAAAATGTTTAAAATTAGTCTTTTGAAACTCTAGGTAAATAAATACTACCAGGAAAATAGTTCTGTCTTCTATTTTACAGGGAGAAATACCAACTGAATCAGTCAAAAACCCACAAAATCTAAAGACTGTAAAAAATCAAATCAAAATACTCACACACAGCTGGTTGCTCCATTACTCCCTGCCCTCATAATCACCAAAGTGCCTCGTTAGCAAGAGAGAGTTGTTCTAAAACAAATGGCATGTTGATGAAGTGCATAATTTTTCCCTCCACACTGGTTCTCCCACTAGGATGTGCAGAGGATCTGACAAGACTAGGGCATTTCATGTGCTTATACCATCCAGCACTACACAATTGTCACCTTAGAGTGACAATGGTGCACATGTTTGAATTTATCTTCCTTTAAACTTCATAAAGATTGCTGTTCATCTTCAGTGTCAGACAGAAAATCTGAGCCCTGAGATCTGCTTGGCTAACCAGTAGCATCACGGGAACAAAGCACACCTTCAGCTCAACTGAAAAGAACAGTGTTGCCAAACTAATCTCAAATCCAGGGACGAAAATCATGCTCTAAAATACTGAAGGACTGAGACACTGCAGGCACAGAGAAATTCATCAGCCTATTTTTGGGTGCAGTAGGTACTGAAAAATACCCTTCCTGAGATCTTAATAGACTGATATTTTTCTTTTCTTTAAGCAGCACAATAAAATTAAGTTGTCTCTGAAAACTTTCATCTCTGATTTTTTTATGCATCTCCTGCATATGTTCAGCTCACATCCTTGAACAGGAATCCAAAAAGGTACTTCAAAAACAACTTTACCCATATTTTGTAGCACTTACACCTGGTAATAAAGGTTCACCTCTGTTTAAACCAAACTCAACCACCAGACTTACCTTCACAAATGTCACCTGCATGTGCTCCTTTGCTAGTGCTGCCATAACCTCATTCATTTGAACACACTGAGGAGCCCATGGTGCCCAGAAGTGGACAACCACAAGGGACCTATAAAAATAAAAAAATAAAATTAATTAACTTAATTTTCCAAAGCAATTCTAGGAAAGGTAGGTAGAAAGGATAGACTCTTTTTTTTTTTTTTTCATCATGGCATGACCCAGAGCATGATTCTGCTTTGAAAGCTGATTAAAACAGGCAGTTTGCAGACTGGTATAAACGAAAATTATAGAACAAGACAGTTCTCTTTCTTACTGGAAGTGTCACCCTTGCAAATTCAGACCCAAGCTCAGGAGCAGTTCAAGACCTCTTCCCCAAGGCTGCCATCTGTACAGGTACTTCCATCACTCCTGTACACAAGGCACAGCAGCACTGATTCCCAAAGCAAACCATCTCCTCTGAATTACAGAGCAGCCATGCAGCCTTTGAGCCGACTGTGCTGCTCACAACTCACACCTGCACTTCACAGAATCACAGACTGGTTTGGGTTGGAAGGGACCTCAAAGATCATCTGGTTCCAAAACCCCTTCATGGCCAGCGACACCTCCCAGCAGCCCAGGCTGCTCCAAGCTCCAGCCAACCTGCCCTTCAACACTGCCAGGGATGGGGCAGCCACAGCTTCCCTGGGCAACCTGGGCCAGGCTCTCACCACTCTCACAGCAAAAGGTTTCTTCCTAGTTTCTAACCTAAATCTCTCCCCCTTTCAGCTTGAAACCCTTCCCCTTGTCCTATCCCTCCCTGCCCTTGTCCCAAGTCCCTCCCCAGCTTTCCTGGAGCCCCTTCAGGCACTGGAAGGTGCTTTAAGGTCTCCCTGGAGCCTTCTCCTCTCCAGTCTCCCCACCTCTCTCAGCCTGTCTCCAGAGCAGAGCTGCTCCAGCCCTCGGATCACCTTTGTGGCCTCCTCTGGACTTGCTCTAACAGTTCTTTGTTCTTCCTGTGCTGAGGACCCCAGAACTGGACACAGCTCTCCACATGGGGTCTCAGAGCAGAGAGGACAATCCCCTCCCTGGCCCTGCTGGCCACATTTCTTGTGATGCAGCCCAGGACAGGGTTGGTTTCTGGGCTTCAGTGCACAGTGCCGGCTCCTGTTGAATTTCTCATTCCCCATCACCCCCAAGTCCTTCTCTTCAGGGCTGTTTTGGATCCATTCTCCACAAAGCCTGTACTTGTGCTTGGGATTGCACCAACCCAGGAGCAGGACCTTGCACTTGGCTTTGATGAGCTTCATGCAGCTTGCATGAGCCCAGTTCTCAAGCCTGCCAAGGTCCCCCTGGGTGGCATCCCTCCCTTCTAGCGTGTCATTTAAACCTCACTCAAGGCTTATTAAAGCAATCTACTTTTTCCCTTCAGGACATGATACAGACTTCTTGATACACCCGAGAGCAAACTTCTCTGCCCAGTGACCCTGAGCTGCAGAACTGTATTCCAGCAGGTTCCAGGAGTGCTCTTGGTGGGGCCCAGCTGGGAAGCCCAGAAGAAGCAGCCACAGCTCAGATGGCTGGTGCAGGAGCTGCACCTGCCCGGCAAGCAGGCAGCTCCTCCTGAAGCTCACCCCAGCTGTCAGCTCACACAGACACCTTTTAATTAAGACTTTTGAGTCCACAGAGACAAGCACTGGGAAGTGCTGTCCTCACACCGCAGCTGATGGTTTTTGCCACAAAGTAATGAGGTGAAAATAATTAGGTAGACGGGGAAGCAGGGGGAGTGATTTATATGTATGAGAATACGCAGTCATGACAGACAAAAGATTTTAAAATTTAAAAAAAGCAGCAGAAGTTCAATATTTAAGAAGACAGACCAAGCTCTGATGCAGAAAATCATCAAGAGCTTTGCTCCAGGACTGGTTTTGCTCTCCTTGTTCATCACATCCTTCCTTTGAAATACCAGTTTTGAGACCTCACCTACCACTAAACACTCACTGTTTACTGACACCATTACCAGCTCAGAGAAGTTGTTAAAAATGGATCAAAGATGAACATAAATACCTTTATTTTTTTTAAATCAGGTTTTATGACAAAACAGTTTAATCTACTGAGATCTACTACAGCTTTTACAATTTCAGAGGATGAAGCTGTTAAGCTGTCATTGCACCTGCCCCATGTCTGGACATTTAAGAAATTATTTGGATGATACACAAATGATTGGATACATTTCCACTGGCTAAAAACAAACAGTGGCAGGAAGCAGAAGAGAGCACAAGAGCAGTCCACTGGCTACATTTCAGGCCAAAACACTAATAAATAACTTCCTGCACTTCCCTTCCATTGAGGCAGGAATCATACTCTTCCCTGCTACACAGCTGATCACCTGTCAGCTCCAGACAGGCACAGGAGGAATCAGCACATGGTTATTTCATCCTCATTCCACCAGAGCCAGTCCTTTCCAACACACACCTGCAATGCACTTATCTTCATAAAAAACATGCTTTAATTTGCACCAGATTAATTTGGCAATTCAACTGCCCTCCTGGTCACTGAGAAAGGAAGAAAACAGAATGAGCAAAATTAAGCATGTGATTCTGAACAAGTATTTCTTGCATTCAACCAAGATTTTTCAGGGCTGTAACAAAAGGCTTATGTCAAGCCCCTAAGTTTCTCTTCCTATATCATTTTGTATATCACATTTTGGAGCAGAAGCTGTGGGCCCAAACAATAAAGTTAAAGGTAATTTTTTTCAAACTGCAGTAGCAGAAGAGAAAGTAAGAGGCTCTATCACAGTTTCTGTGCAGAAACAGAAATCCCCAAGTCTTGCCTCTACAGTGTATCTAACAAAACCACCATGGCTGAGGCAGATTCCCAAAGTGTGCCTTTAAAACAAGGAACCTCTTGACTGGAGAACCAAAACAGCAAGACATTCCCTGACAGGAATATCCAAACAATCATCACCCCGCAGCTCACCTTCCTTTTGGGCCCAGATACAAGGATTTTGTATTATAATCTCTCTGGCAGTGAGCCCATGTTACTCTGTTTTATAAGCTGATTCTTACAAAAAACAGCCCAAGGACAACAACAGACTCCAGAGCAATAAGAGAAGTGGTTCAATAACTCTTAAGTCATCAGCTCAGTTCTTCTTTTGCAACCAGAAAATCTAGATGCCTTTAAAAAAAATAATTAAACCTTGAAATTTACAGTCATTCCATAACACAAAGCTTACTAATAACTTGATGTCAGAAAGATGAATTTTCTGAAACAGGAACTCCCACAAAATGTCAAAATAAAATGGTGGCAGTTGCAGTTGATTAGTGGTAATTCTATTACTTTGGGGGGAAAAAAAACCAAACCAAACAAATCAAAACACAAACAGTAAAACAGCAGTAGACCTTAAACATTCAGGACACTTACTATCTTAAGCTTTAATCTTTCAAGAGAAAAATACCTGAAGAAATATTCTCCTTTCTCACTTCATGTTAAGGGAGTGTTTACAACTACTTTCTTTATACCATTAATTTTCAAACTCATTTGATAATTTAAAAGTAGAAAGTACCATAAGTTAGCCAGTATGTATTTAAGTACTACCACCAGCCAGAAACAAGGAGATCATTAAAAAAAAAAACAACAATTGGGATTTGGGGGATTTATGTGTTGCAAGAGCAGGTTAGCTTGGTTTCTTTGCAGTAACAACAACAGCAACAAAAAAAAGCCAATTATTTTTAAATTGAGCAGAGGAAGAGTTATCAGTTCTATCAAATCACCTTAGGACAAAAAGAATATGCATAAAATAATCAAGTCCATTAAAGAGAAACATAGATCATGTTCTGTGGACAAAAAGAATGAGAAAATTACTGGGGGTTTTATTGAAAATAACTTTAAAATATTTGTTGCTGAGGCCATTTTCATGCCAATACATGCACGAGAGGGAAAGCTGCCTCTGGGATGTCCCCACACAACAACTCAGTGGAAGAATAACCAGGGAAAGGAAAACAGGAAGACATGCAGCAAGCTTCAAGGAATCTAGCTGCTTCTTCCCATAACCAACACTTTTCAACGTTTCCTGGAAGGACACTGATGCTGGTGGTTCCACCAGCCTTTTAAAACCGCTCATTTAATCACTTCTCTCTCCTTATTCATTCAAAAGCCACTTGCTAACGCAGCAGTTAAAGGCCACGGACACGTTTCTGCCGCAGCACCTGCTTTCCATGCCCCTCCCGAGCCCAGCAATGCTCAGCCAGAGCATCAGAACAACAAGCCGCTGCACCTTCCACTCGACAGGACAAACCAGAAACACAACCAAACCCGCAGGGAAGCACCGAGTCCCATTTAACTAGTGCTGCTCCTCCCTACCGAAGCAAAACACCCAGAGGGTTTTTCCCCCCCCC